GAACCGATTTTTGAAAGTGAATAGACGAATCGACAGCTCTTTTCCCGCGCTACAAGATGCCGACCACACCGCGCCGATGCGATACCCTCGTCCCGACTTATGAGGGTTTTAAAATGAGATAGAAAATTTCGAAAATAAGCGATATTGAGATGGCTGAAAGTCTCTCAAAACGCATTCAAATGTCAAAATAGACGGGTTCATTGGAAAGCTCATCAAATTCTCTTCGATTTCAAAAAAAAAACGTCCGATTCGGTGGATTTTCTGAAAAGTTACAAACCTCCGAAAAAAGAAGACGAAGTTTTTAGGTGGCTCTATTATTTTGACCGCCACTGTACTTGATCCAAGATTCCCCCAAGATGTCAACTCAGACTGCCCCCTCCCCCATCACTTGAGAGCAGTCTGGCATCGAAAACAATCGAATACTGGGTTACTCCGCATCTCGGCAAGTACTCCTATCCGACGCGACTCTCCCCCGCCCATTTTGCTCGTTAGGCAGCGGATCAGACTGAATCGAGTAAAATCGAATGCGTTCGTACATCTCACGACCCACATACATCTTTTCTCTACCCCATTCGTATGAACCAGGTAACTTGGTGGACCTCATGTATTTGCCTCCCTCCGAAAATGATACCCTTCATGCTCCTCGTACTCCGCTCATCCTGACTGAAGTGAGACGAATTTCCCCACCCTGCGACAATGACCCTCCCCGTAAGGGGCAGAGCGACGCAGGTTGATATGCTGTGGACCTGATTCAGACGAACCCCAGGGGCACTATGAGGAAGCTCAGGCCTGATGAATGATAATCCTCCATAGCGAGAGCTCATCGAGATTACGGTGCTACAGACGACTGTAGGTGAATCGATTGCTCGGTTTACCAAGGAATGGCGTCTCGTTCCCGCATGTAGAATCAAAGAAGTCAAGGAGCTTCAAGGAGGGCAAGCTGCTTCAAGCCGTCGGCAGAGTTCCACAATCCCTCGATCGGGAACCCACAAGTCGGCCGCAACTTTTCTTGAATAGCTCCTGATCCCTATTGCGTTGACTAATCAGGGTGATTCTTGGTCTCGATTTCAAATTTTCGCGCCCATCGCGAGTGTAGCGTCGGTGGCCATCCGCAATCCGAAAGGATGGCGCGCTACCGTGCTCTCCCAACAACAACAGCCATTTCGAACGAGAAGAGAGAGAACAGCAGAGAACCAGCACGGCGCGGGCACATCGTCAGACGGTTCATGGCTGCAAAACAACGATTTCTACAGTTGACGATCCAGATTGTTTACCATTTCACCGCCTGAATATGATTGTGCCAGAGTTGACGATGCAGTGAAGACGCGGGGGAGATCGACTGGATCTCTTGACGCACTGTGAATACTACCGTGAGTTCAGCGGCGCCGGAGAACGGAACGATGCTCTTCGTGATCGGTTTCGAACGTCAAGGGAGAAAAACTCCTTTCGGAGCTGCCAAATGAACTATCGAGGCTATGGGCAGTCCGTTCTGACGATGTGAGGCTGACCAAACGTTGTGGATGCACGGATGGCAGTGGATACGGCATTGGTGATCTGGGTATCAAGGGGCTCAATTTTCCTCATCGTCCACTCGCATGTGAGATCAGATGATACGATAGGCTACGGGTTCAACTTGCTCGGACTGCCGTGAAATCTGTTGGTGCAGCGGGCGATTCCCTCCCACTGGCGTTCCACTTGGGGCCTTCCACGGTGTGCTTGAAGCGTACTCGAACCGTGGAGTGTATGACAGTTCCTTGTACTTGATGAATTCCGAAATTCCTTTTCCAGCTCAAATCAAAATGATGCAACAGTCGATGAGCAACCGCAGTGCCTCTGGGGTGTCGGAATTCCAGAGGTCCATGCTCGACAAGTTGGATTCCTTGTGTTCCCCCAGCCCGGTGAGTGCACCACTATGCCGATTGAGTAAGGAGCTCTCACCTTTCACGGTCACGTCACGTGAAAGCTGTTCTTCTCACGGACGTCACCGAGATCTGGAACTCTGACGTCGTGTCAACCAACGTCTGTTTTACAGTCGTTCGATTCCGTGGACGCAGCAA